ATAGTCATCCAGAACAATCCATAGTCATTCATTGTCATCCAGAACAATCCATAGTCATTCATTGTCATCCAGAACAATCCATAGTCATTCATTGTCATCCATTGTCATCCATAGTCATCCAGAACCATCCATAGTCATCCATAGTCATCCAGAACCATCCATAGTCATTCATTGTCATCCATTGTCATCCATAGTCATCCAGAACCATCCATAGTCATCCATAGTCATCCAGAACAATCCATAGTCATTCATTGTCATCCAGAACAATCCATAGTCATTCATTGTCCTCCAGAACAATCCATAGTCGTCCATAGTCATCCATAGTCATCCATAGTCATCCAGAACCATCCATAGTCATCCATAGTCATCCAGAACAATCCACAGTCATTCATTGTCATCCAGAACAATCCATAGTCATTCATTGTCATCCATTGTCATCCATAGTCATCCAGAACCATCCATAGTCATCCATAGTCATCCAGAACAATCCATAGTCATTCATTGTCATCCAGAACAATCCACAGTCATTCATTGTCATCCAGAACAATCCATAGTCATTCATTGTCATCCATTGTCATCCATAGTCATCCAGAACCATCCATAGTCATCCATAGTCATCCAGAACAATCCATAGTCATTCATTGTCATCCAGAACAATCCATAGTCATTCATTGTCATCCATTGTCATTCTTAATCAACCGGGTCAACTTGGAAATGATCTTTCTGTGGCGACCTTGGCGAACTCCCCCAGTTCATGGAGGTCCATGGAGTCCATGGCGCCTCGGAAGTTCCACATTGCTCCAACCAGTGGCTTAGAAGCCATGCAGCCTCAGGAAATCTCAGGAAACACATGCGACACGCGTCACTTGCCTCTGTAGCGACAACAAGTCACAACAAGTCACACCAAACGGAAGGAAGCAAAAGCTCGGTAGCAATGGAGATGAATTTCCTTTGCAAAGCAAGAGTTTTGGAAAGTCGACGCCAAGTCTTTCGTTTTGAACCTGTTTGTCACTCACATCGTTGTGGACAGAATTATCTCCCAACCCTCGGAGCATCGGGGTCCTCGGACCTCTCGGGCCCCTTGGGCCCCTTGGGCCCTGGACGGAATGTGGTGAGGTCAATGCTCGCGCGCGCTGCTCCAGGGTAGGCTGCAGCTCCTCCACTGAAGCCTCGACGGAAAAAAAAACGCTCCGTGCAACGAGGAGAATCCAACGGAAATCTGTTTTTTCTGTGCGGAATTTTGAATCCGAAGAAACTTGAAGAAACTGCTTCTTGGTCTTGTTCCCCACATTGACGTGTGGGGTTTTTGGTTTTAGTTCTGTATCCGCCCTCCGCCTCCCGCCGCCTCCCGCCGCCTCCCGCCCCCTCACTCACACTCACCCACTCACTCACCCACTCACTCACCCACTCACTCACCCACTCACTCACTCTCACTCACTCTCACTCACTCACTCACTCACTCACTCACTCACTCACACTCTCACTCACTCACTCACACTCTCACTCACTCACTCACTCACTCACTCACTCACTCACTCACTCACTCACTCACTCACTCACATCATGGCAGGCGTGGGGCAATGTGCACTGCCAAGGGGTCGGATGTACGCCCCGGGGTTCCGCTGGCGTCCCTGGGTCTCCGCCTCTTTTGCGTGGCAGGCGTGGGACAATGTGCACTGTCAAGGGGTCGGATGTACGCCCCGGGGTTCCGCTGGCGTCCCTGGGTCTCCGCCTCTTTTGCGTGGCAGGCGTGGGACAATGTGCCCTGTCAAGGGGTCGGATGTACGCCCGGGGTTCCGCTGGCGTCCCTGGGTCTCCGCCTCTTTTGCGTGGCAGGCGTGGGACAATGTGCATTGCCAAGGGGTCGGATGTACGCACCGGGGTTCCGCTGGCGTCCCTGGGTCTCCGCCTCTTTTGCGTGGCAGGCGTGGGACAATGTGCACTGCCAAGGGGTCGGATGTACGCCCCGGGGTTCCGCGGGCGTCCCTGGGTCTCCGCCGCTTTTGCGTGGCAGGCGTGGGACAATGTGCACTGCCAAGGGGTCGGATGTACGCCCCGGGGTTCCGCTGGCGTCCCTGGGTCTCCGCCTCTTTTGCGTGGCAGGCGTGGGACAATGTGCACTGGCAAGGGGTCGGATGTACGCCCCGGGGTTCCGCTGGCGTCCCTGGGGCTCCGCCTCTTTTGCGTGGCAGGCGTGGGACAATGTGCATTGCCAAGGGTCGGATGATGTACGCACCGGGGTTCCGCTGGCGTCCGTCTCCGCCTCTTTTGCGTGGCAGGCGTGGGACAATGTGCACTGCCAAGGGGTCGGATGCACGCGCCGGGGTTCCGCTGGCGTCCCTGGGTCTCCGCCTCTTTTGCGTGGCAGGCGTGGGACAATGTGCACTGTCAAGGGGTCGGATGTACGCCCCGGGGTTCCGCTGGCATCCCTGGGTCTCCGCCTCTTTTGCGTGGCAGGCGTGGGACAATGTGCATTGCCAAGGGGTCGGATGTGCGCCCCGGGGTTCCGCTGGCGTCCCTGGGTCTCCGCCTCTTTTGCGTGGCAGGCGTGGGACAATGTGCATTGCCAAGGGGTCGGATGCACGCCCCGGGGTTCCGCTGGCGTCCCTGGGTCTCCGCCTCTTTTGCGTGGCAGGCGTGGGACAATGTGCACTGCCCGGGGTTCCGCTGGCGTCCCTGGGTCTCCGCCTCTTTTGCGTGGCAGGCGTGGGTGAAAGCGAAGCAACTTACTCACAAACAACTTACCCTACGTACATACATACATAGATACCTAAATACATACATACATACCTACCTACCTACCTATCTACCTACCTACCTACATACCACCATCGTCCCTCCATCACTCTTATCCTTCCTCTTCCCATCTCGCTTTCTGTGCTCCGTCTAAGTCTGAAGAAGTTGCTAACATGTGGGGTTATCCGGTCCTACAATTTTTTTGCCGTTGGGCCACTGTCTTCGAGACTTAGTCGTGTAAGTCGACACGTTCGTATACGAATGCTCTTGAATCCCGTATCTTCTACATGTACTGCAACAACACTTCAAAGCCACGGAAGTTGCTGAGAACTTTATGCAGTTGGGATTTCCCAAGCCTCCCGGACCAAAGAAGCCACTCGGCCACTAAGCCATGAGGCCATGGCCCCAAAGCTCAAAGTGACTCAAGGTGACTCTATGTTGTGACTCGATGTCTTTCTGGCGTCATTTGATGTCATTTGGCCCGGATTCAGGTTAGAACCAATGACGCGTCCGATGTCGGAAGACCATTTGTTTGACTGGATGGCAGCTGCTGCTAATGATTTTATGGTACATACAACACAGATGTGGTGGAGCCTTTTCACCATGATGGGTGCTTTTGGTCTAGCGCATTCTGGTGCTATCTATCAATCTTCCAAGAAGGAGCCATTTCACTGCATCTGGAGCCTGCAAAGAGGCTGAGGGATGGTTGAAAAGATCTGAAAAGGGGACTCCCAGCAAAGGTCTGCATGCTCATGCATATCTTTAGCATACCGCATTGCAATACATTACAATTACATATGCAGCTGGCTGGCAACAGCCACCGCATTCTGTGCTTGAGCCAACAGTCAGCACAACGAGGGGTGTAGAGCAGAGCTCACTGCAAAGCTGTGAAAAAGGTATGCCAAAGTCCTAGGAGTCAATCAAAATGATTGCGACATTAAAGAACCGCACGGCGCAGCACTGCCATGAACATGCATGCATATGAATGCATCATTAGACTTTATTGTGACTTTATGAGACCCCTCTCAAATGGCCAATGAGTTGGCTCAATTGGTCTCAATTCCCGTCTCTTTCCACATCTTGCTTTACTGCATCTACCATCTACGTTCAAGGCACCACTCCAATGGGATGTTTTCGCAAAGAAATATCTGAAATATCTCCTTGAAGAGCTTCCAAGTCGCTTCAGGTAGTGTGTCCAACAGTTGGATCACATCCACGACCATCCTAAGGACAAGTCGTTTGCAGCCAAGGCATACCTTGTTTTTTGGGTGCATTTCTAAAGATTTCAAAACCTCCCATGTCTCAAGTGTTGCCCCAAGAGATTCAAAATGGATCAAAATGCCATCTTGCCATAAACCTTGCCATATCTTCCCAAGTCAGGATGAGGCGCCGTCAGATGGACATGTATGGATATGTAACAGCCGGTGTTGATAGGGGCAGATTGCAAAACTTAAATGGTGAGCGCTTCTGCCCGTAGGATAGTTATGCTATAGCTTCGTTATGCTTCGTTCAGAGCCACACAAATCTGTTCAACTTGGCATGCGACGGCACTCCAGTCACAGCTATTCTGCTGCCAAGCTACGACCTGTCCCCGGTCACTTGATCCTGGGCTCTGCTTTGGGATGTTTCGCTGGGAGACGGACAAAGTTGGGCCAAGTCTAGGAACTCTCCAAATGTTCTTCTCAGTTCATCTCAGTTCGTCCCACTACACTAAGGTCAAAGCAAGGACAGCAGCCACAATGGCAGAATTCGCCATGGCTCTGGGCAGTGGGTGCCCAACAGGCTCCAAGACACTCTCGATGTTTCTCTGGATTCGCAAGACATGCTTGGTGAACAAGTGAAAGGGATGTCATTGTTTTCGGACCAAATTGAAGTAAGCAATATTTCGCTGTCGTTCTGAGCCGCACCCTGGAAGCAACGATCCCGAAGAAGGAAAGCCACTACATACAACTGGCAATCTGATAAATTTAATCTCAACCACGCCATGCCGCACCATGCCGCACCATCCCGTGCTGCCGGACCGGCCTTCAATTTCCCGAGAGTCGCGCGAGTCACGCGAGTCACGCCCTCTTCGGGCAACCCCAATGGTGTGGAGCACCTGGTGTCTCCTTAATTATGGCCGCAAGGCTGGGAGGCCCTCCTGGAACATCGGCCACAAACCGGTCATTTCGCATGCCGCATCATTTCGCGATCTGTTCAAGGTGCGTTCCGCAATCTGCTACAACGCATACAGGCTTAGACGCCTGGGGAAGTTGCCAAAGCTCTCATTCCTCATTTTCTTGACGCTCAAGGACATATCTGGCAAAGGCTGCCAATTTGCCGCTGTGGTCATTGTCTGCTTCCCTGCAGATCAATCAAAAATGATGGAAACACATCGGGAAACGTCATACAAACTGATGCAAAGAGAGGCTTTACACATCGATGTACTGTTTTCCTGTGGCATCACGGTTCTCATGTTTTGTTCCCTGGATATTCTCATCCTGAAGCATAATTTTCCGTTCCTCCTCTTTATTGCTCTATATCCAACATGTGTACCTGCTGATATCAACGAACATTTTAGTGCCCAGCAGCTTAAACTTTGACATGACCCAAGCTGTGTAGTCCTCGGGTTCGGGCTGAGTTGAAAAAGAAAGTCGCCGACTGAATCAAGTGATAGGCCAATTGGGGGTGAAATTTTGAATCAGAATCAAGGAAGTGAATCCATGTAGAACCACTTGCAAAACCCACATCCTTGAGAGGTCAATCTGCTTATAACAGAAGATTCTTTTCGAGCGAAAGTGTTATAAGGGATTGTACTAATGGTCTTTGCGAAGGAAAAGAGGGCAAAGTCACTCTGTGTGGCAACTGAGTGGCTTGTTCGTTTTCGTAGACCCACTCCATCGTTTCGCTCCTGTGCTTCCCAAAGCCCATGAGTCTTCCCTCATTGATCTCAGGATTGTTTTCCTGGATCCACTCTGCCGCAATCTTCAGCTTTTCGGTGCAATCATCAGGAGCAGAATTGTATGTATCCACAATCCATCTGCAATAGTCTGGATCCTGCCACATCAATCCGAAATCATCCGAAGTTCAATTTGAAATCACAAGGCTCTTTTGGGTTTCAAAATGAAATCTTACGGATGTGTGCAAAATCTGTTCAGTTGTCAACCGAATTTAAAATTTGGCTGAGAATGCTTCAGAAGGTGGGAAAACTTGAAAAGTAAAGATGTCAGCGGTATTGGAAACCCAAAACGGACGAGAATAACAGCTACTGTAGAATTGAGAACAGCATTGGTGCTGCCTTTAAGCCATTAGTTTCATGGCGCTGGAGAAGTTGGAATGCGAAAATAAAGTTTGCAAACAAATAGCACTTACGTCTCTTCCAGTCTGACCCGCATTAATTCCAAGACCGTTGTCTTGTGCATCTTTCGGATGTTTCACAACATCACTTCACAAATAATTCCACTACTGAATTTTCAGAAGTTGTTTCCGCTCTGCTCTTGCCAATCTGACCTAATTTGTCTGCTTGTCCACGGCCTCGTTCACCACATCCAGAATCGTTTTCTCGCTGTACTTTCCAAAGCCCAACTCTGGCGCGGC